CTCAGCCAACGGGGTATTAACCGCGGTTTCCAGTTACTCCCAAGCTCTACTCACCCTTCCTTTGATACATTGGACTAATATATACCGAGTTTTTTCTAGGGGAAAATACGGAAAATGTACTTGTGGTTGGACCCGTTTTCAGATAGAGTCATGTGTTTCATTTTTTTTTATCAAAGTGGTTCATGTGTTTGAATTCCGTTATCACAAGAAGGTTACGTCGTTAAAAACGTCTCAGAAAGACGATTAATAGTAACTCCGATTTTCAAAAGTGTCCTAAAAATTAAAAGAAAAATACTGGAAGGTGCGCCTCATCAAGATGACCTCCAAACCACCTTCGCCTTTGGATTTTTTTGGATCTGTTTGAATTATTTTTTTAAATGTTTTCGCTAATATCACTTTTCCGATGAACTTTCCTGTGACAAGGGTCGCTAGAAGCAAAAAAGAAAGATTGCCTAGCGGTCGTCTTGTTGAGGCGTACCTTCCGGTATTTTTATTCTAATTTTTCGGACACTTTTGAGAATCAAAGTTACTATTAACTGTGTTTGTTAGGCGTTGATGGACAGTGTACCCGGGGGGTAGCTTATCCGGGGGTTATTATGAGAATAACCTAGAGAGAAGTCAGAGCAAACAAGTAAGAGAGAGAGAGAGGCGATTGTATTAATGAACTCGAGATGTTCTGGTCCTTTACAATGGGAAAAGGGGGGTGCTATTTATAGCAGCAATAAATGCGATGAGAGTACACATGTCAGCAATCTAACGGCCGAGGGGTCACCTCAATTGGGTGACACTGACATTCGCATGTGCACCGCATTGAATGCGGTGGGTGGTTGTGACGCCGCATTAAATGTGGTGGTTACTTGTCTCGAAAGGGAATCTTCGATGATTGAGCTGTTGGCCAAAGGCTCTCCCCGCGGCCGAGGGCTTTGTGTAGCCGAAGGCACGAAAGTGCCGAAGGCTTCCCTGATGCCGAGGGCACGAAAGTGCCGAAGGCTCTTGAATTCTGTCATTTTCTCCCAGTAGCTTTGTATGCTCAAATCTGGCTGCCCCGTGAGTTCTGGAGCCTTCGGCCATATTGCCGAAGGCTACCCTGGGCGCACCTTGGGCTCCTTTGAGCTTGGGCCGCTGTGTTTTGGGCCTCTTGTGCCTCTTGGGCTTGTTGGGCCTGTGCTGGAATAGTAGGAGTCTGTGGACCGGGGGTTCCCGGGCCATATACTCCATCAGACGTTTTTAACGGTGTGACCTTTTTGTGATTACGAAATTCAAACATATGAACCACTTTAATAAAAAATGAAACACATAACTTTATCTGAAAACGGGTCCAAACACATTTCCCTTTTCTTATAACTTTTACTCCCTCCGTTCTTTTTTATTAGTCCCCTTAGGGTTTGGCACGGGATTTAATAATAAAGTAGTAGAGTAAGTATAGAGTGTGTAGGCTAAATGATAAAGTAGGAAAGATGGTATATTAAAATGAGTAAAGTGATGATAAAGTAGGGAAAAAGTGTATTAAGAAGAGTAAAGTGATGGTAAAGTAGGAAAGAGAAAGTAGTTTGTAAAAAGTAAGTGGAGTAAAAGTAATTAAAGTGTAGGTATTTTCTCAAAAACTTTCCTTAAAGGGAAAGGAGACAAATAAAAAAAACGTCCTAAAAAGGAAAGAAGGACTAATAAAAGGAGTATTAATTATACATTAATCAATATGATGTTAATAAATCATATTACACCGGTATTACGGCAAATTATATGGTACAGCCGGCTGTACCTAGAGCATGGTACAGCCGGCATTTTTGTAATTAATTGCATTTCATGGGCTAATAGTTAAATTACTGCTATCTGTTATTCTTTCTTTCCGCTGCACTTCCCGTTAATTTCATTTGTTGATAGCAGGTTGACGGTGACCGTGTCTTTGCTGATTGTTCGATTACTTTCCGCTGCACTTCCGTTATTCTTTTTTCGTACGTAGCTTTTAGTTCGTGTTCTCTTTCTTTCGTTTTCTTTATTCTTTTCTTTTGAAAACTTTTTACTTTATTTTTTATTATTATTTAATTATGATAAAAATGTATAATATAAAATATTAGCAAATGTTCAATTTTTTTTCTTTTATTCAGTCAACCTTCTAATGTTAGTTTTTTGTAATTTGTGTATTATAAATATTTTAAAAAGTATTAATGTTTTGTTTTTCTATTTTTGATTTTAATAAGATGAATATTTATTAATTTATTTTATATTGTGTGTTAATGACTAACATGAGTTTTGTGTTATACTAAAATGAGCATAGTGTCAAATAAATATGCATGAGAAAATATTATAAATAGAAAACGATTATATTTGTATTTCAAGAACAAAAGGTTATATTTTTTTTAATACTCCCTCCGTTCTCTAATACAGTGAAGTAATACTTGTCTCTCTTTCCATTTTGGGTTGTTTTCTAATATTTGTCTCTCTTTCCATTTTTGGAAAGTTTTTTCTATAAATATACTCATTTACCCTCATTCTCTTTTCTACCTTTTCATTCTCTTTCCTACCTTTTCATTTAAACACAACTCACTACACCTTTTACACTACCCCTATTACTTTTCTCTTAAAACTTGTGTCAAACCCTATAGGGACAAGTGGACAACTAATGGAGAACGGAGGGAGTATAAAATTATTATATTTCTCATTATTATATATATTGATAGTTTATTTATTGAATTTTTAATAACGAATCTACTAGATATACATATTATAGAGACACATTTATGTTATATTCGAATGAGTATAATGAATAAAAAAATGAGCACACACAATGAATATTTGCGCACATTAGAGATTTCAAATGAGTTTTTAAAAATTTTGATGCTCATTTTGTTTATTATGTATGCTCATATGTGGTAATATTATGCTCATTTTAAAATGACATATCAATGCATATCAATGCTCATTTTATAAGTTACATATGCTCATTGGGTATTGATGTTATGCTCATTTTATAATGTCATATCGATGCATATTTCAAAAGTATCATACTACATTAGATTCATATATTGAAGTTCATGAGTTGATTATGAACATAATTTAATGAGTTTTTATAAAAGAAAAAATAAAAAAAGAAAGTGAATTACAGTATATAAAGTTGACATCACAATACTCATTATTCGACTCTTAATGCTCAGTAGAATACTTCTGATGCTCATTAAAAGTGTATATATGAGCACTGACCATGAGACTCAATTGCATTTGTTCAATACTCAATAGAGGAGTTTTAATGCTCAATAAAAATGTATTGAAGTTCAACTAAAAAATTTACGGTTTATACTCATTTTGTAAGTTACGTTTGTTCAATTTGTACTCATATTATGCTCATTTTTAAAATGTCATATTCATGCAAATTTTAATGCAAATTTTAAAAGTTGCATATGACATTGGATTCACATTGTTAAGATCTTAATACTCAAATGAATAAGTTCGATGCTCATTAAAAGTGTTTTAATTATCATATCAATGCATTTTTTAAAGTACTATTTTACATTAGATTCACATATTGAATTACATATTGAATTTCATAAGATTTGATTATAAATATAATTTATTAATTTTCTTGTAAAAAGAAAAAGTAATAAAAAGAAAGTGACTTAGAAGGTATGCGGCAGAGATCACGATACTGAATATGAGACTTCTAATACTCAACATAATAGGTCTGATGCTCATTAAACGTTCATTATTGCTCATTCAGAAGAAACGGTGACTTTCATCTCAATAACCAAGGTTTGATGCTCAATTAAAATGTCATGGTGTTCAACTAACAAAGCAACTAACAAATTCACTAATACTCATTTTGTGAGTTATGTATGCTCATCTGGTACTGATCTTATGCTCATTTTGTAAATGTCATATCAATGTCATAAATATAATGTAGTAAGTTTTTATAAAAGACAAAATAACAACAAAGAAAGTGAATTAGAAATTATGAAGCAGAGATCACGATTCTAAATATTGGACTCCTAATACTCAATATAATAGGTCTGCTGCTCATTAAAGGTTCATTAGTGCTCATTTACCAGAAACGGTGATTTTATCTCGATAGTGGAGGTTTGATGTTCAATGAAAATGTGATGATGTTCAACTAACAACTTACGATTTAATAACAACAAAGAAAGTGAATTAGAAAATATGAAGCAGAGATCACAATTCTAAATATTAGACTCCTAATACTCAACATAATAGGTCTGTTGCTCACTAAAAGTTCAGTAGTGCTCATTTTTCTGAACCATCTCTCAATTGTTTTATACTAGTACTTTTCTTTAATTCTGAGTCTTTTGTTGTTTTCAATAAAATGTACAATGGGGGTTGGAGTTGTGCAAAGAGCACATGAAAAACTAACTATAGCTAGAGATAATGATAGCTATTTAGTGTCTCACCACTTCTCAAAATATGAGAGCTATGTACTTCGTACAAAATAACAAAAACGAAGAACGGGCTTATTAGAAACCTAACAATATATAATGAGCATTAATGAGCATAATGTGCATTAGACCTATTATGAGGATTAAAACACTTTTGATGAGCATCGGGTTTATTAGAAACTTAACAATATATAATAAAATTATAAATACATTTATATAAATTAATTAATAGTACGATTCATAGATTAAATAAATACTTCGTTTGAATTAGTTTTAATATAGTAATAATGAGCAAAAACAAAGAATAGTTAATATTGTAATTACTATGAATAAACAATTGTAGTAGGGAGTATGAAAACATGTAGGCTAAGTAAAAAAAAAGGACGGATATTTACAAAGAGACAAGCAGCCGAGATGGATGGAGTGCTGCAGGCTATATTTGAAGTCCAGGGATCGAATCCCGCTGGCGTTTATTCTTTTTTCCTGAAGGAATCCAGTTCCCAAGTCCGGATTTAGTCCTAAAAACAAATTTAGCCATTTTAAAAAACCGGATGTACGTACACCCGGCCTACAATATAGGCACTCCCGGTATTACTTAGTTTATTTTCAGTTGATCCAATTTGAGTTAGCAAACTGGCTCATGTTGGTTAATTTCCTTCCCTTGCATTTTCTTCCATCTTTAGTTTGACCGGAGTAGTTTTTGTAACCCGAACAAGAATTCCGCAGTCTCCATCTTTACCGGATGCCAAAGCTCCATCTTTCACAGGCTCCTATAAACTCTCGATCAGCCGTTCTCGTCTGTCCCAAAGTCCCAGTCTAACTTCAAATTCCTCATATTTATGCTCTTACTCTGGAAGATCATCTGAAAAAAATGGGGAATAAAATTGCTCGTACAACGCAAGCGTCTGCTACGGAGTACTACCTCCATGACTTGCCGTCTTCTTACAACCTGGTGCTGAAGGAAGTTTTAGGCCGGGGGAGGTTTCTGAAATCGATTCTCTGTAAACACGACGAGGGGCTTGTATTGGTGAAGGTGTATTTCAAAAGGGGCGACTCCATTGATTTGCGCGAGCATGAGCGACGCCTCTCACAAATAAGCGAAATCTTTGGTGGCATCGATCATCCCCATGTTTGGCCCTTTCAGGTGGATGTTTTTTTATAACAGTTCTTGTACTTGGCGGAATTCATCATAACATAAATAAATTGAGAACGGAGCTTATAGAAACATTAACAGTCTAACACGTTCCAGTACACTTAGTTTAGCTATATATTTGTTTCCTTTTTAATCGTTCTTCTAATTCACACCCAATATATCCTAAAGAATTTTATTGAAGAAAAGTACTACTCCGTAGTATTTATATTCTCAAGCCACAGGAAAAAGCTCATTTAGTTATGCTTTAACAATCACTAAAATCGGTAGCCTAGAGCAAGCTAAATTTTTGTTCTTTTTATATACTTGCCACAAACTAAGTCTAATGGCTTCTTTGGTCCATGGGTAATGTACCTATCCTTACCTACAACTTCTGCAATGTTGCAGTGAGAATTAAAAATGAGTTACTTCTGGTATCTTGAGTTTTTAAACTAGGAAAGTGTACCTCCTACTATTACTAAGCTCTATGCCGGTCTTCTTTTTATGACACAGTTGTGGGTGGAAACAGATAAAGCTGCCTATTTGCTGAGGCAATACTTCTTTAATAATCTTCATGACCGTCTTAGCACGCGGCCTTTCCTAAGTCTCATTGAGAAGAAATGGCTGGCTTTCCAGGTCTTTGTCTTGTTTCAACTGTGCTAAGTTATTCTTTTAAATTCACAAAGGCATCTCACATGCTTATGGTCTTTGCAGTTGCTATGTGCAGTGAAGCAGAGCCATGAACGTCGAGTCTGTCATGGTGAGGTCACTAGCATATGTAAATGCATTTTTTTGTTCTTTCTTTTGTTTCTCCAGAAATCACCTTTTTTTCCAGGCGATATTAAATGTGAGAATGTGTTGGTCACTTCTTGGAACTGGCTTTATCTTGCGGATTATGCATCGTTCAAACCCACATATATTCCACATGATGATCCATCCGACTTCTCATTTTTCTTTGATACTGGTGGAAGGAGGCGATGTTACTTGGCTCCTGAGGTTTGTTCCCTGCTATTTTATGTTTTCCACTTCCCTTCAAATGTAATTATGTTAGACTGATAATTCATTTTGCTCTAAACATGCTAATGTGACTTGATCTAAGTTAGTCTTTCCCTAAAAAGGTTAAGGTTAAGGGCCTGTTTACTAACAGAGATATTTTCCTGTTTTCTACTTCTGTTTTTCATTCTCCAATTTTCTGTTTTTATTTTTCAGTTTTTCTATTTCCAATTTTCTGTTTCTATTTTTTAGTTTTCCATTTTCAAATCTGAAAACATGTTCATCAATTTTTTCACCCAGTTCTCCAATTCCACACCCTTGACCCCTACCCCTACCCTTACCACGATCTTACACTCTACCCATACTCCCCCACAACCCTTCCTACCCACCCATACCTACTCGTAGGGGTCGGGGTAGGGAAGTTATGGGTGGGGGTGGGGTAAGGGGTATGGTCGGGGTGGAGTGGTAAGGTCTAGGGTTAGGGGGTTGGGTGGGGGTAGTGGGTGGGTTAGGGTCATGGTTAGGGGTAAGGGTGGGGTAGTGGGTAGGGTTGGGGTAAGGTAGGGGTAGGGTAGGGAGTTGGGATAGGATGGCGGTAGGGTGGGCCCGGGACCAGGGTGGGGCCGAGGTAGGGAAGGGGTAGGGTGGGGGGTAGTATGGCGGTACGAGGGTGGGGGTAGGATGGCGGTGGGGCTGAGGTAGGGGGCATGTGGTAAGGGGTAGTATACGGGTGGGGGTAGGGTAGGAGGTGGGTCGGGGTGGGGTCTGGTAGGGGGGTGGCGGTAGGGTAGGGTGGATCGGGGTGGGGCCGAGGTAGGGGCATGTGGTAGGGGGTGGGGTAGGGTCATTATAGGGAAAAATGAGTACACGGGGTGGGGGTTGGGTGGGTAGGGTAGGGTAGGGGTAAGGGGTAAGGTACGAGGACGGAGGTACCGGAATGGAATCGACATCGGAGCGGACCGGACCCACCACTAGGTGTAAGTATGCAAATTCATTGCAGCGGCACTGTAGCATCTGCATTTTCCAAATTTGGAAAACTAGTAAAAGTCACTTTTCCAAATCATTAAGGAAAAGAGAGACATGTCTCATTTTTTCCGTTTTGAAAAATGATTTGGTAAACGCGTTTTTCTTTTTTCCTTTCTCCAGTTTTCCAGCAATTTCTTTGGTAAACACGTTTCCTGTTTTCTGTTTTCCAGTTTTCCAGTTTTCTGGAAAACTGGAAAACATCTCTGTTAGTAAAGAGGCCCCTAGTCTTACTGGGATGCAGAATGAATGAACTGGATGCATTATGTGAATGCCTTCCTCCCTTATCCCCTATTGGTGAATAATGATTCCTTAATTATGTTCATAACATCATAATATTGGAGTGGATGCTACACAACATGTCGGAGTTTTAGATGCTAACATACATTGGTTTTCAGAGATTTTATGAGCATGGAGGTGAGATACATGTTGCACAAGATGCACCGTTAAAGTCATCCATGGATATCTTTTCTGCAGGGTGAGGTCCTTCAGCTCAGGCCAGTGTTTTGGTTTGCTTGTTTTTTTAGGATAGCTATTTCAGTATTCTACAGTTTGTATTGTGGAATATGCTTAAAAGGAATGACGGTGTCTGTTGGTTTTCTTGTATACTACTATGCTACTATCTAACTTGATTCAGAAGTGTCTGGAATGAAAAATGATTATTTTCAAATGCAGTTTTTTTAATGCAGCAAAAGGGATTGTCTTGTTTTCATCTTAACATTATTTGTTTTTCCCACTCCTTGTCTCCAGCCTCTACACTTCCCTGCAAATCTGTTACGAGTTCCTCTTAGAGGGAATCTTTTCGTCTAGCTCTCTATTCTTATTTCATCATTTGTGAAGCTACCAGGATTTTGATATAGTTTGATCATAATGACGAGAGATGAGTATCATATCATTTATCTCATGTACAAGGATTTTTCTACCCTATGCAATCATGGTTTTTGAAGGCGGAGTTGTTCGGCTCAGAGGTGCAAAGACGTTAAGGTGCAAGGAAAATGAATATAAAGCTTAAGCCATCGGGACTGTATATTTTTTCATCAAATCCTGTATGTGTTAAGACACTTGTGTTAAGTAATCTTAATAAACAGTCTGAATTGGGTAAAACAACCAACTTCTGGTTTTGTGCCCTACCTTGCAATGAGTAAACTCACTTACTAACACACATATACTCCATCATGGCTTTCCATCTAGAAAATTGGTTGAATAGACACTTGGATTGCACCGAGTGATACATTAGGGTTGAATTATTAAGTCAGTTCTTGACTTAGCTAATCAGTGCTGTTTCCAATCAAGTTGTAACTAAGATGATTGCGCATGAAAAGAAAAGTAGGAAGAAGATTTGGAAAATACCTTAGATACTTATAGATAGTATAGCTGGAACCGGGGAGGAGAAACAACAACACACAGTATTTTTTTCTTGGTGACATAGCTGTAAGGTTTTTAGTAAACGCATTGAGATTTGTAATAAACTATTCCTGCGAGCTGTGAGATGTTGGACTCAGCCCATTTTATTTTACTTCATTTTATTTTGGACGTAATTCTATGTTTTAGATAAAAAAAGATGGAAGAAGAAGATGACTGCAAACAAAAGGAAAAATAGGAAGAATAGTTTGAAAATAACTTAGATAGTATAGCTGGAACTGGGGAGGAGAAACAACAACACATTTAGTATTTTATTCCTGGCGACATAGCTCTAAGGTTTGTACTTTTAGTACACACACTGAGCTATTTGTAATAAACTATTTCTGCAAGCTGTATTTGTAATAAACTATTTCTGCAAGCTGTGAGTTGTTGGGCTCAGCCCGTTTTTATTATACCTTATTTAGTTATTTTAGAGGGCTAATTGTCAACAACAACCATATAATAATTATTTGAAGAATTGCGTCAAGCTAAATTCAAATATTCTTTATCTTTAACTACAATAAAGGGCAGCCAGGTACATGAAGGCATCCCCGCAAAGTGGGTCTGGGGAAGGGTCCCACCACAAGGGTGTATAAGGAGCAAACCTTCACCTGCCAAATTTGACAAGAGTCTGCTCCCAAGACTTGAACCCGTGACCTCTCGGTGCACCAAGCCCCCCCCAAAACCACTCCATCTTTAACTACAATAAGATACTCCCTCCGTCCCATAAAATAGTTCCCGCATTGACTTGGATCGGAGTTTAAGAAAGTGGGAATAAAGTGGAAATGTATGGTTGTGGTTGTGTAAGAAAAAGGTAAATGAATGTGAGCCACTCAAAACTTTCCAAAAGGGGAAATGAGAACTATTTTTTGGGACGGCCCAAAAAGGAAACCGGGAACTATTTTGCGGGACGGAGGGAGTATTAAAATTGAAATGTTGAATACTTCCTCAATATAATTAATTAAACTGAAAGTTAAATTTTTATATCCTAAAAATCCTTACTTGTCACTAAATTAACAGGGCTTCCTAAAACTTCTCCCTTTTGGTACTCAATTTACTTAAAAGTGATTAACTTAATACTACTTATGTTCAATGAGACAATGACTTCTTCACTTGTTTAATTTAGAAGTGATATTTTTATAGGTTCTTTTAAGAATTACATGCTTATGTTATTTATTATGGTTAGGTATGTATATATATTCTTGGAAAAATTGATAGTAATAATCCCAACTATTGGCGATCCGCCCATAATAATCCCAAGTATTGATTATTTCAGAATAATCCCAACTTTAGGGACCTTCCGCCAATAATAGTCCCTATAAATAAATTCTTGTAGTTTTTAAAGTGGATGAGAAGAGATATAGCAAGTAATCCTTATAAATAATCCTAACTTTTAATTGTTACGCTTAATTTCTATTTAAAAATCACTTGTTGTAAGAGGTAATATCTGGTCATGGACCATTATTGGCGGACGGTCCATATAGTTGGGATTATACAAAAATAATCAATAGATAGGATTATTGTCGGCGGATCGGCAATAGTTGGGATTATTATTTTCAATTTTTCCTATATTCTTTTATTTTGTATATTAACATACCTATTTATATATTTAACAATATTACAAGTGTTAATTATTTAAACACGTCAATATTGTATGTAATTGAACTACCTGATATGGGAGCAACCACGCCTGTAACACTATCATGATGAGTTATTCGTCGACTACTCTACATTTATTTATTTTGTTTAGTAATTCAAAGTTTGGGCGACCCCAAAATCTTTTGGGAATAAGGCTTGGATGTTGTTGTAGTAATTCAAAGTTTGTACCTTGCTTCTCATTGAGGTTTACACCTCACTAGGCAAAGGGAGATTGCCTTGAGGCACATTTTTGCCTTTCAAAACCTTGTGTGCAATTGCAGTTCCCTTAATTTGCAATGCTTTACAGAAATAAAGTTTTCAAGTATTCCAACTTTGTTCATACTGTCTCAGGTGTGTTATCGCTGAGCTTTTCCTTGAGGGCCAGCCTTTATTTGAACTATCCCAATTACTTGCCTATCGGAGAGGACAGTATGATCCTAACCAACTTCTGGAAAAGGTTTCATTCTTCACTCCAACTCTCTATTCTTATTGCTATGATATATGAGTTTGCCCCTCTTGTTTGGATACAGTATTTCAATTTAACAGTATTCTGACCCTAATGCGCCTATAAATATTTTGTTTGTCTAAGACTACATCAACCCTCGTTCTCAAACAGTTAAATTCATTGACCCAGATTCCAGATTCAGGTATCCGCAAGATGATCCTTCATATGATTCAGTTGGATCCAGAGTTGCGCTGTTCGGCTGAAAGCTACTTGCAGAGTTATGCCGGTGTTGTGTTCCCAAACTACTTCTCGCCATTTCTTCACAATTTCTATTGCTTGTTGAATCCACTGAATTCCGATGCAAGGGTAAGAGTGTTTATTTGGTTGATGATTCATGATTAGCTTATACTTTCGTCTTTAATTACTAGCATATCTTCTATAGGTCTTGATATGCCAGACCTCTTTCCAAGAGATACTTAAACAGATGAGCAATGGGCAACCAAATGGGAAGAATGCATCCACTATTTGCTTCTCTACGTGTGCAGCCAGTCATGTGCTGCAAGGAAAGGATACACATCAAAGTTCAAACAAATTAAAGGACTACTCGAATAAAAGAGAGGGGATGAAGAGTGGATCAATTCATGATCGGTTCGATCTCCTTGGTGATGTGAATACTTTACTCACGGATGTCAACCAAAGGAATATATGTTCTGTTAACCCAATGCTGGAGGATGTAGCCAATGCAGCATATTCTGAATACCGGATGCATTGCGGCATACAGTCTCCGGGTGAGCTGTTTCAGACAGTCTCCAAAGTGTTCAAGAGAAACCACCACCCATTTTTGGAAAAAATAACCGTGAAAGATTTGACTTCTCTCATGTCTGATTATGACAATCAATCAGACACTTTTGGGATGCCGTTCTTACCTTTGCCTGATGATGTATTGAGCTGTGAAGGTATGGTTCTGATTGCATCAATGCTGTGCTCATGCATACGGAATATAAAGTTGCCTTTTATGAGAAGAGGGGCTATACTTCTGCTGAAGTCTTGTTCGTTATATATTGATGATGAAGACCGTTTGCAAAGAGTGCTGCCATATGTCATTGCCTTGCTTCCAGATCCAGCAGCAATTGTTCGATGTGCTGCATTAGAAACTTTATGTGATATTCTTCCTCTAGTTCGAGATTTCCCTCCAAGTGATGCCAAAATTTTTCCAGAGTATATTCTTCCAATGCTTTCTATGCTTCCTGATGATCCTGAAGAGAGTGTGAGGATCTGTTATGCCAGCAATATATCTAAGCTAGCCTTAACTGCCTATGGGTTTCTTGTTCACTCAATTAGTTTAAGTGAAGCAGGGGTTCTGAATGAGGTGGATTTATCTCAGAAGGCTTCAGTCTCATCCACTGAGCCATCGGGACGACTACTGAGTCTGAACAGCAGTGACACACAGCTTGCACAATTGAGAAAATCAATTGCTGAGGTCATTCAGGAACTAGTGATGGGCCCCAAACAAACCCCAAACATTAGGAGAGCTCTCTTGCAAGATATTGGCAACCTTTGTTGTTTTTTTGGCCAGAGGCAAAGCAATGATGTCCTTTTGCCAATTCTTCCTGCTTTCTTAAATGACCGAGATGAGCAGCTCAGGGCCATATTCTATGGGCAAATTACTTATGTCTGTTTTTTTGTAGGCCAAAGAAGCGTAGAGGAATATCTTTTGCCCTACATTGATCAGGCATTGACCGATGTAACTGAATCTGTCATTGCCAATGCATTGGATTGCTTGGCTATTCTTTGCAAAAGTGGTTTTCTACGAAAGGCCATCCTGCTTGAAATGATAGACCATGCTTTTCCACTGCTTTGTTGTCCTAGTCAATGGGTAAGAAGGGCAGCTGTTGCATTCATTGCTGCCAGCAGTGAGAGCTTAGGTGCAGTGGATTCATATGTTTTTCTCGTGCCTGTTATTCGCCCATTCATCCGAAGGCAACCAGCATCTTTAGCTTCAGAAAATTGTCTTTTCTCATGCCTTAAGCCTCCTGTTCCAAGAGAGATATACTACAAGCTTTTGGAAAATGCAAAAAGCTCCGATATGCTTAACAGACAGCGAAAGATATGGTATAGTTTGTCATCACAGTCCAAACAATGGGAAACCCTGGACTTAATCGAAAGAAATTCTGCCGAATTTGATCAGATGTCATACTGGCCTGACAGAAAGAGCGACTGTCAAGGCCACAATTTTGGCAATGATAAACCACTTGATTCCTCTGACTGTGATGCTAACGAGACCAAGTTAAGAGCGTTAGGAAGCTTGATACAGAACCCCTCCAGCACAATGGATAATCAGGATCTGCTTTCCTCAGAAAAAATGCAATTGTCTGGATTTGTATCTCCACAAGTGAGTAGTATGAGTGGCTTAATTGATAAACCTTCGGAGGGAATACCATTGTACTACTTCAAAGTTGACAACAAGGGAGCAGCTGGAAATGGTCCTTCTGTTTCTGATTCGTCATTACCATACACTAGTTTGTCGTTTGGTTCGTCATCTATGCCATGGATGGATACAGTAAACAAGTCGTTTAGTTTGGCTAGTTCAGTTCCAGCACCTAAGCTTGTCTCAGGTTCGATTAGCTTCGGCAACAACTCTACCCGATTGCGGAGAGTTGTACATGAAATCGAGGACAGGGAAGCTGACCAAACGTCATATATTGGTAACAAGTTTCAAGATCTTGATATGTCTTCCACAAAAAAAGGGATTTCCCTTACCATGGAAGACCAGTTAACTGCAAATGATGGAACAGAGTTACCATCTTTTGCTAGAATGTCAACCGTTCCAGATTCTGGGTGGAAGCCTCGTGGGGTGTTAGTTGCTCACCTACAGGAGCACCACTTGGCTATAAATGATATTGCCGTTTCAACAGATCAAAGTTTTTTTGTGAGTGCATGTGAAGATTCAACTGTTAAGGTTTGGGATTGCAAAAGGTTAGAGAAGGACATCTCATTTAGGTCAAGGTTAACTTACTCTTTAGGGGGAAGTAGAGCTTTGTGTCTTTGTGTACTCCATGGTTCTGCTCAAGTTGTCATTGGTGCTTGTGATGGAACAATACACATGTTTTCTGTTGATTACATCTCTCGAGGACTGGGCAACAATGTTGTTGAGAAATACTCTGGTGTTGCTAATGTGAACAAGCACGGTGTGGGAGAGGGTGCAATATTAAGCGTATTGAACTACTCACCAGATGGTGGGGCCTGCAAAATGATTCTGTATAGTACCCAAAATTGTGGGCTCCACATCTGGGATGCAAGAACTAGCGCAAATGCCTGGAGCTCAAATGTTTATCCTGAGGAGGGTTATGTGTCTTCTCTTGTTGCAGGTCATTGTGGGAATTGGTTTGTGACTGGGTCATCAAGGGGTGTACTCACACTTTGGGATCTCAGGTTTTGTGTACCCGTCAACTCATGGCAGTATTCTCTCACTTGCCCTATCGAGAAAATGTGTCTTTTTGTTCCTCCATCAAGCACCTCCTTGTCTGCCGCAGCAAGACCTCTTGTTTATGTTGCAGCGGGCTGTAATGAAGTCTCTCTGTGGAATGCAGAAAATGGGAGCTGTCACCAGGTTATTTAGGATCACTTTTTTTTTTTTATTTATAATTTCGCAACTCTACTACCAAGTGTACCAACGTCAATCGCGTGTGGTCTAAAATAGAAATACCGTAACAAGTAACAACACTGCAAGGACCTTACATACGGAGTTCATCAATCATCATTGATACTCCTGTAAAAGATGTAATGCTGTCTGTAAATCCCAAATCCACGACAATCATAGATATAGTAGAAAAACAGGGAATAGATGAGAGCAGATAACTAATGCAATTGGATACAATAAAATATATTCCTAACACTGTTTACAGAGACTTTTTTGAGTGTAAAAACTTAATGCGGTTTTAAATGTCAACTTTCATTTTAAAGTAAAATTACTATAACGTCCAGTGGCAAATTGTTTTTGTCAATTACTCAAAACAATCTTGGATGTAAGGGGTAAAAGTGACAATCATAACCTGTAAAAGCTTGTACCCTCATTGAGTTGACAAAAACAATAAGTTGTACCTTACTTTAACAAGTCTTTTTTCTTTTTCAAAGATGGAAGGAGCATATCCCTTTTTCTAGTTCTCAGCAAGTATGTGCAAACTCAATTTGTATGACAGGTATTGCGGGTGGCAAGTAACGAGAACGAGGCTGAAAACCCCGATTTGCCCTGGGCTTTGGCAAAACTCTCCAGCAAAGCTACTACTTCTAAGCAAGATAAAAGAAGAAACCAAAATTCGAAGTATAGAGTTGAAGAGTTGAATGAGTTTCCTCCACGTCTTCCTGGAATTCGTGCTCTGCTTCCATTACCCGGTGGGGATTTGCTAACAGGGGGCACCGACTTAAAAATACGTCGTTGGGACCATTGCAGGTTTGATAGATTTCTATTTTGCTACTTTCACTGCTGTGATTATTTTGCTGGTTTCCTCATTATATTTACATGTCACTTTTAGCCCTGAACGAACGTATTGCGTCTGTGGACCATCTGTTAAGAGAGTTGCAAATGATGATTTTTATGAGGTGAAATCTAGCTTTGGTGTTCAAGTTGTACAGGTATTTAAAATAGATGTAACTTGTTATTTTTATGTGGCAGATGACTTGGTTAATTGAAAGAGTGTATGCTTCAACCATTAAATAATAAATACTCCCTCCATACCTATTTAATCTTCTAAAGTCTAAACTGACTTTACACTTTCTCTGAGAAAGTGAAAACTGATATCAACTACATATTCCTTTCCGTAAATGGAAGAAATGAAATAAAATTTTTAGGATGATGGAAAACAAGTGTGAATTTCCATCATTTTCTATGGAGCCAAAGACTCACTATTTTTTGGCTTGGGAATATGATCGAATAAAGCAAAAGGTCTATGCAATTCTCGACGCGATTTCACTATGGGTCATTCGGAAACAGTCTCCATACATCTGACCCCCCCTTACCCCACCGTGGGTGGGAGCCTTTGCGACTGGGGTAATGATGATGATGGATATGGAAAACAAGTGTGAAGATAAAAAAGGTATATAAAAATAATTGTGGGCATACATCATACTTGTGCCTTGTCATTGTTACTAGAAATAATAACAAAATTGCTGAAAGGAAAATGTTACACAAACTTTTAACTTTCAAATAAACTTGAGCTTCAAAGTTCAATCACTTCTTGAATTGAACTGGTCAAACATGATTTTTGAATCGAAATTGCCCTAAATAGGAGTAAAAACGTTTTGAAATTCCAAAATAGGACTTTCATGTTTTTATTCTCTAAATAAGAGTAATTCTGCCAAGTTTGGAAAAAATGCCATGTTTAAAGCCCAATAATGCCAAACTTGGCAGAAATTTACTCCTATTCAAATTTACTCCTATTCAGGGAATAAAAAACATGATAGTCCTATTTTGGAATTTCAAAACTTTTTTGTTCCTATTTAGGGAATTCTCTCATTTTTGAACTTCTGATGGACACTTGCCAACTTAAGCATTCAAACCTGAACTTGATCTGAACCGCTGCCCAGTCGAGCATCCTTACTTGAACTTAATTTTTAACTTAGATTTAACTTAACGTCAACTTAACTTAACTTAAGCTTAACTTGATCCAATGCCAACTCTACCCCTTTTATCTCCCTTGTCCTACCGTGCTAGATTCTCCTTTGTCCCACCATCTTTAAAGCTAGACCAACAATATCCAAGCCTTAATCCCAAAAGATTTTGGGGTCGGCTAACATGAATCGATCCATGATATCGATGCCACAAAAAGAAGACAAACAAGAAGCGGTTATATAAAACTAGACCAATTATATATTTTTATTGGAAATTATTTATAATATACAAATGATACGAAAATGTTTATTGTGATAATATACTAAAATTCCTAGAAGTTATTAATCTTATACTTTTATGATATGCTTCTAACAATAAACATTTTCGTATCGGAATTTTATTAATTCAGGACCCGAAAGATAGACGAATTATCAATCCGGGACCTGAAAGATAAAATGCATCGATATAGGATCCGGATGATGAAAAACTATCAATTTAGGATCTGAATGATTGAAAACTATCAATCTAGGACCTAAATTGTCATAAATTTTATTACTTTTTTTATTTTGAAAATTTTAAATATTATTTAGTTTTATTAAACTAATAAACTTTTGTGAAGAAAAGTTTATCAAAAATCAGTAATGGAATTAATAAAAAATTAAATAAATAAAAAACTATAAAATGTTAGGTCCTAAATTGATAGTTTTCCATCATTCGGGTCCTGTACCGATACGTTTCATCTTTCGGGTCCTGAATTGATAAATAATCTATCTTTCGGGTCCTGAATTGATAAAATTTCTCTTTCTATAATACTCCCTCCGTCCCACTGGACTTTGCCAACTTTCCCTTTTTGTTTGTCTAAAAAAACTTTGCCACTTTCCCTTTAAAGCAATGAATTTGTGGCTCTGTTCATTTCTCTCTCATCTACACAAATTTCAACCACACAGTTTTTACTATTCTAATTTCCCACCTAACATCAACTTGGCAAAGTTGAGTGGGACGGAGGTAATATTACATTAATCAAAATCTTTATCCAAATTTTAAGAGATGTCCAAGTATTTTGGGACGGAGGTAGTAGTAGTTACTCACACCTTATCTTCTAGGTGTTGCTCACACCTTTCGTTTGATTATCTCATTCCTCAATTGTTTTTTCTGGTATGCCCACACATCCAACACAATATATGCATCTCTGCCACACTCATCTTTTGAATGTGACATTGTTTCACTGCCCAACACTTTATGTCATACAGTAATGCAAGCCTAATTGCCTTTCGATAAAATTTACCCTTCAGCCTAGTCGGCATACCCCGATCACATAGAAATCCATCCACCCTTCCATTCCATCCACCTCGTCCTTCTGAATTATGGATCTTAAGTAATGAAACATATCACATACCCAATCTCGTTTCGAATCAGTCTGAAACCTTTGTGCTCCAATGCTTGTCATCATATTTTCAACTTTGTTCCCGATAGTGTCTCATCAATCAATATAATATCGTCGGCAAACATCATAAACCACCATACACCTTCTTGAATTCTTGAATTCTTGAATTGACTTCGTAAGTTCATCCATGACCATATCAAATAAGGACTCAACGCCGATCCTTGGTAGAGCTGCCAAACAGGTCAACCCAACCCGGCCCGTTTCGGGTTATGAGCCTCACGGGTTGGGGCGGGCCAACTCATTTAATGTCGGCTCAGAGTTTTGATCACCTTACCCAACCCACCTAACTCACAGGTTTCGCTGGCCAACCCGCGGCCAGAAATGTCAAAACTAAAAACAATTAAATATCTCAATTAAAATCCAAACACAACTAAGATAATAAGATATATGACTTCCATTGACTTCATAACTCTGCATGTCCAAAACACCAAAACACTGTCTAGAAAACCAAAAGTTAAAAATGCAAACACCATTAAAAATGTTTTAATTCAACTCAAACAATAACATGATAGCTTTGCAAGTTAGGAATTCTACAACAATCTTTCTTTTCAAAACTATCTGGAGAATTCAACACTCTTTCATTAAATCCATCTGCAGACCAGTTTGGAGCTAAACTAACCATCTCCTTCTTGAATTGACTTCGTAATTTTATTCACGACTATATCAGATAAGAAAGGACTTAAAGCTGATCCTTAGTAGAGTTGTCAAACAAGCCAACCCAGCCTGACCCGTGTCGGGTTATGAGTTTCACGGGTTGGGGCGGGCCAACCCGTTTGATGTCGGGCTAGAATTTTGATAACCCTAACCTAGCCCACTTAACCCACAGGTTTCGCGGGCCAACTTGGGGTCAGTAATGTAAAAATAAAAAACAATTAAATATTTTAATTAAAATCCAAACACAACTAAAATAATAAGATATATGACTTCCATTGACTTCATAACTCTGTATGTCCAAAAGACTGTCCAGAAGACCAAAAGTTAAAAAAGAAAACACCATTAAAAATGTTTTACTCCAACTCAAACAAAAACATGATAGCTTTGCAAGTTAGGAATCCTACAGTCTTTCTTTTCAAAACTATGTGTAGATATCAACACTCATCATCATCATCATCATCATTATCATCATCACCTTAGTGCTGTAAAGGCTCTCACCTACAGTGGGGTAAAGGGGGTTGGATGTACGCAGCCTTACCTCTATACTAAAGCATAGAGAAACTGTTTGCGTATGACCTTTGGTGAAAATCGCATAGAAAATTGTATGGAACGACTGTTGCTTCATAACAAAGAAGTGCAGACAGTTTAATGAACCATTTTGATTTATTCTATCATATTCCTAAGCCAAAAAATAGTGAGTCTTGGTTCCATTGCAAATGATGGAATATGGACAAGGTACGCAACACGTGAACTTCCTAGTGGGTCATCCATCCTAGTACTACTATTGCCCTAAAACGCTCAACTTCAGAGTTCTGATGGGATGCATCCTGCAGAATTCAACACTCTTTCATTAAATCCATTTACCAGTTTGGAGCTAAACTATCCATCTCCAGATATGCTTTGAGGAGCTAGCGGTGGATCTGAACCATCTCCGGCACTTTCATGATCCGCACATATTGGATTAGCCATTCGAAATCCAACAAACGGATAGCCATAAAAAAACACCACAGGAAAGAATATAAAATTACCATCCTCGGGAACACTCGGGAACATATAATGCTTGAACATGTCAACTTCTCTATTTAGTCAAAACTCGAGAGCCAATGCTAAAAGCTGACTCTGATGCCACCGTGGTGATAGGAATACTAAGCACATCGCATGACATTTATGCTAAGTCACCATATCGCATTTTATGATCATTGAGTATTGCAGAACATCCGTATCACCTATCTCCTTTTTTTTCTGTGATCTTAAGTCATACCAGAAATTAGGAGATAAATCATATTGAGAATTTCCTCTTAAGTCTTAACCAAAATTCTTCGAAGTCTTAGCTCAACCACTCGTTCTTAGAATTTCATGGTGTGACTCATAAGCTTAATCCCTCGATAGTTGGCACATTTGTGTACATCATCCTTTTTTTAAAATAGGGAATGAGAGTACTCTTCCGCCAACCCCCTGAAATTTTGTTATTTCTCCAAATCTTGGTCAAGAAACATGTTAACCACTGAATGCTTCTCTCTCCCAAACTTCTCTAGGCCTCAATCGATATGGCATTTGGACACAATGTTCTCTTCCGCTTCATCTTTCTTAAAACCTCTTTACAAGGTTTTGAAAGGGAAAATCGGGCCCCGAGGCGTCCGATGACAGCCTCCCAAGGCGTAGGGCTCGAGGCGTAATGACACGTAAGCCTCGAAATTAATTGCTTAAGTTTTGCTACAAGCCTACAATATATCAGATACAACAACAACATCCAAGCCTTAGTCTCAAATGATATTGGGGTCGACTAACATGAATCGATACATGATATCACCAAAAGGAAAAGAAAGAAAATAAAGATAAAAAAGATAAGCTATTATAAAAAAGATAATATAAAAGAGATGAATATACACATAAAAGATAAAATAACAAGGATAAAAATAATATTTATATATAAGGACTACAATATATCAGATAATATAGATAATTCATTATTCATAACAATAGTGCTGCTAAACAAAATCACAAGTAAAAAGAACATAACAATAACATATCCAAGTCAAAATAACATAAAATTAAAATTCCAAACTCAAAACACAAAAGAACAGAAAACACTAAAACTCCAAGACAAAAGAACTTAAAAGCTTATGGATTTAAGTTTGCAAATCGACAAATCACAGTTATTAATCTTCAAAACTAAGCTTATCGTCCATTTCATCAGTGTCCAAATTAGTAATGTCATTCTGATTCCATCCCCTTTCTTATCACGGGCCTCATTATCTTCTTCCGTTCCAATCGTAAGGTCCACCCCTACTCACATAAAGTAAAAAAGAATAGAATGAACAGAGATGCTAGTTAGGTGTAAATAATTATATTGAAGTGACAAAGAAATAATTATGAACCAATCGTAAGGGCATTTCATCAACAATTAATGCAAGCTCATCACCTGCGGCTGCACTTTCTCCACCATCTGCATTCAGTTCAACAATCCACTCATCATCAGATGATACATTTTCGAAGACCAAATTATCTTTTTTTTTGTAATTGGCTCCTCCTAAACTTCAACTTCTTTTAGAACATTAATGACATTATAAACACCAAACTATTCAACTTAATGATTGATAGACGATTCCTTCTCTTCATGTGGACTTGATTGAATGTGCTCCAATTTCGTTCACTAGCTGAGGAAGAACACGCCAAGTCAAGAATTTTGACTTTAAAAGTCCCGTAGCTCTGGAATATGATCTCCAAATTGATCCCACCATTTCACTAAAATTAATAAAAATGTTAAAGAACTAACATATGCAGTTTTACAGATTTAGTAGGTAAGGCAGTTTTTATGCAAAGAAATTGCAGTTTTCAGTTTAGGACCTTAGGCAGCAAAGGTCCTAATTGAATGAGCCACGCCTTACGCATGAAAGAAATTCGGGGATTTGATAAAATCGAACTGAAGAATTGGTTCCCGATCATACATTGATTCAGTTTATAGAGTTCTAAAAACTGAATTGTCGGTTCGGTTTGTAATTTTTTTATCAGTTCAGGATCCGAACCGAACCCAACTCTAGTTAAATTTACCTAGCACCCCCTTTATTTTTATCTTCTGATTAAGAATATTTGAATGGGAAAATACAAAAAAGAGAAATGACTAATCAGGTCTTGTGGTTCAATGACATAATTGTGACACTCCCAACAGGAGGTCACAAGGTCGAAACCAATCCAAGTGAAGGATGTTGGCAAGAACAAATACGGAGTACTATAAATTATTAGAAAGCATATATAGGGAGGCATTTATAATTTCGAGGGTTGAGCCACACAACTGCACTATCTAATTCTACTTGCACCACAACTTATTTTGTTGGCTATCTATTTCATGGTCTTGTGTACTCCCTTTTGCTTTTAAATATGACATAATTGTGTTTGGGTTTGTTTCCTGACCTGGAAATGTTAAAATGGTGCTGAATATAGTGGACTAAATTCCTACTAACCTTAATTGCAGGAGGCAAAGAGACGACCCTTAGCACCCAGGTTAACTGCTAAGGCCATCCTGTCAGCCGCTGCCACAGATTCTGCTGGTTGTCACCGGGACTCCATTCTCTCTTTAGCCTCTGTGAAGTTGAACCAGAGACTACTGATATCCAGCTGTAGGGATGGTGCCATAAAGGTTTGGAAGTAAAGGAATAACATAGCTTTGTTGTTTACTGTAAATATATTTAACGTATAATTTTTATGCTAAAAATATGTGCATTGTATATAGAAGATCCACGATAAGATAGCTCAGATCTAGTTTCCTATTTGAATTTATTTTTCCCTCATACCTGTAAAAATTTATGATTTTGTAATATTTGGCGGCTAGGAATTAATATGTTGTATAGAAACGTAGAGAATAGAGATTGATCAGTGTCGCTCTACAACTCTACAAGGACGACGTACGTTATTTCATGAATTGTGTGAACACTACTACGTTTTTTTACTTCAAGTAATGACGATATTTTAATGTTATGATCATCACATAATCACTGTATCACACTACCTTCATTGCAGTTTTATTTATATTAACACTTTTTATTTATAATTTCCATTATGTCATTTAGTATTTCTTTACGTAATCATTAGAATCTGTATAAAATTTAAACTTGAAAAGAGCAACTTCTAAAATAATTATCATGTTTTCATTAAATTTAGTTATGTAAATTTTAATTTTGTTCAAATGTTAACATTGAAAACTTTTCAATTTTTTTTAACATTGGATTTTTTTTTCTTAAATTGCTTTCTTAAATTCAATTTAAACTACTTTATGTTTTAGTTAGATGTAGTCCTGGACTCGGGCCGGGTGGCCCGACCCGGAACCGGCCCGAGACCTGTATTGTGCTGAATTGGCCCGGGCCCGGTGGCCTGGCTAGTGACCGGTCCGGGTAGGCCTGGCCTGGGGGGTTCCTGGCCCGGTTTTCGTGCTACCAAACGGGCTCCTAATGCTATTACAAGCATATTAATTTAACAAGTAAAGGGAAAGCGTACATGAACACACTGATGTATTATTGCGAAACACAGTTAAAAGTTGAATAAAATTATATATTATTTGTATTTGTTTTTAACAAAATGTGACAACTTCTAATAAAGACTAAATAAAGACTAATAGCATCATTGCATTTAACTAGCATTTCACCCGTGCGTTGCACGGGATGCAAAATACGGATATTATAAATGTTAACATATAAATGAAATTATAGATCATATTATTTTTTGATGCACCATATGTGGTCCAAACACATGAAAGTAAGCATAAATAATTAAATAATACTTCATTACAAACATTAGAAGTTAAATAAGAACACACTTTATAAACTATTCATGACTTATTTGCAGAAGGGAGTTTTGTAATTTTTTCTAATATCTCTCGTCGTCGCATATCACGAAATTCAAACCTAACGGGATTGTCGCCGTGAGATTGCAACATGTATCTGTACATACGTAAAAGCTGGATGTCACTAAAAACACTCACAATTTCCAACAATTTCCTTTGACTCGTGTTCATTGTAATTGCATATATAGCTAATTGTCAAGGGAAATTGCTTACTCATAAATTATTACATTCATAATAGGACTTATAATTATAATTTCAGCTATAAAAAGAATAAATAATTAAGGTTAATTACTCTAAATAAGATGATCTTGCTCTATAATGTGAAATGCTTAAAATTCAAGATAGGCACTAATAAAAACTTCTGATGATTTATTTTGGCTGGCAAATTAAACTAACTTTCGAATGCAACATAACATTCCAGAATCATCTAAAACCGATCAGAAAGCTCAGCTCCTCGGGAAAGCCACCTAAACATATGAAAGAAAAACCACCCGTCAAGATACCTCATCAACCAATGTAAATATATAATCCGGCGAAGGAATAGTGAAAAAATTAACATTACAACACTTCTTCGGTTTATGGAATTCTTGGATGCGGAAGACCCATAAATTGAAATCAAGTGTTGAAAAATGATTGACTAAGATTTGTTTACCTCAGTTTATGAACTCAATTTACAACAAACTGAATTTTTTTACTAATATTTGTTTGAATCTTCAAAAAAGTTAGAATAAGAAACCACTACAAATTGCAGATTGAACCCATTTAGATCATATATCATATATTTTATATTCATATATAATATTTGATATGGATTCTAAGGGAAATCTTTAAAATAGATAGCTATTCGGAAAAACAACTTATAACTCTAAGGATAATAACCCTGAATTGTCCAAGAAAGAATGATTATTTTATCTTAGCCACCACTGCTAAAAACGTGAAGATTGAGACAGTAAAATAATCTATAAACACAATATATATAACATTACCTATAATTTCGCGGGGATCCTTTGAGCTTCTCCTGATGGTTTGTTGGACTCTAATCTTTCTTCTTTACACAATCTCCTTCACGTTGATTGAGAGAGGTGCACTGGTGCGGGCGAACATGAGCAACAAATTGATTGTCACGATCATATATTGGATGGTGAATCGATGTGGGAGTGCGATTGAAAGGAGAAGGCAATATGGTGAAGGTATGGGGAATTGGTATTCCCACAGCATTCCAAATAATCACATTAATCTGACATTCATTATTTCAGAATTTACTTGAAAACTATACGAAAAAATTAAATTCATTGCAGAAATAATGTCAAACCTTGGTATTCCCACAACATTCCAAATAATCACATTAATCTGACATTCATTATTTCAGAATTTACTTAAAAACTATACGAAAAAATTAATTTCATTGCAGGAATAATGTCAAAACCTTGTGGTGGTTTCTTATTCTAACTTTTTTGAAGACTCGGGCCGGGTGGCCTGACCCGGAACCGGCCCGGGACCGGTATTGTGCTGAACCGGCCCGGGCCCGGTGGCCCGGCCAGTGACCGATCCGGGTAGGCCTGGCCCGGGGGGTTCCCGGTGCGGGCTCGGGTCACCCAAAAACCAAACCGGCCCGGTTTTCGTGCTACCAAACGGGCTTCTAATGCTATTACAAGCATATTAATTTAACAAGTAAAGGGAAAGCATACATGGACACACCGATGTATTATTGCGAAACATAGTTAAAAGTTGAATAAAATTATATATTATTTGTATTTGTTTTTAACAAAATGTGACAACTTCTAAATAAAGACTAAATAAAGACTAATAGCATCATTGCATTTAATTAAAATAAAATCACTTTTAATTTTTCAAAATCGTTCAAAAATTCACACATTGCCATATTTTGTAAACCAACCCACTTTCTAAATATGAGATTACTGTGTTAATTATATTTGATGATGTACTTTTTAAGGTAGGTGCTTTCATGGGAGCTCTCTCTTTATATTCTTCATTCTTGTTCATTTGTGATTAATGTGTAAAAAGGTTGCCAGAATATGATTGCTAACTTTAGCCTCCACTTTCCATTCACCCATTTTTTTTCTCAAATCCGACATTTCTTTAGCTTGTGAAAAGAATAAACAATCCGTGTAGACATTTCTTTAACTGTAAAAACTATAAGCAACTGAGCATTCAATATTATTGCATACAAAGTAGAAAAAACTTAAGTCTTGCATATTTCTACTATCAAGATTTAGAAATTGTGATAAAGATGACTCGTTAAGAAACATAAAGCAACTATTAATCATTGAAATAATTTGGCATGGAAGTTTGGGATATAAATAGTCAATACTGCCGATTTGGTATTATAAGGGGAGTCCAAAATTCCATCCTCTTATTTATCTAATTGTGCAAAAACGAAGGAGAGATAAAGTCACGTTACAATTAAATTAAATAACATAATACTATCTGTAGTAGTAACTAAGAAATTAAGGACAACAATATTGTCAAAGGGAAAAGTATGTAACTGAGAACTTAATAGAATAATCCTTCATCTTAGAGTTAGGGTCTACCGCCCTATAAATACAAGATGCACAAAATAAAGATATTAACTATAGAATATTCTAGTGTAGCCATACTTAGCAACAAACGTATATGGAAAAAGACTAAATAAGGTAATAGAATAAATAATACGAAGTATAATATTCTCGGTGTAACACCCCCCTCAAGTTGGAGCATGGGGATCAAGAATGCCCAACTTGCGAAGAAGAAAGTCAAACTGAGTTTTGCCAAGTGCTTTAGTAAAGATATCCGCAAGCTGAATGGTTGTAGGTACATAAGAGGGAGCAATGAGACCATCTTGAACTGCGTCACGCACAAAATGACAATCAACCTCAATATGCTTAGTCCTCTCATGAAAAACAGGATTTTTCGCGACGTGAAGAGCAGACTGACTATCACAGTACAATGGTATGGCCTGATGATGATGAATACCGAGGCTGAGTAAGAGAGCTTTCAACCACTTAAGCTCACAAGTCGCAGCTGCCATGGAACGGTACTCGGCTTCAGCCGAGGATCGAGAAACAGTATGTTGCTTTTTGGTCTTCCAAGAGACAGGAGAATGTATTAGAAAAACCAACCAACCAGAAATAGATCGCCTGGTAAGAGGACAAGCTGCCCAATCAGAGTCACACCAACCTCGAAGTGTGAGATCACTATCAGCACGTAGTAGTATTCCCTGGCCAGGGGAACCTTTCAGATAGCGAACAATACGAAGTGCAGCATCCCAATGTTCTTGCCGTGGTGCTTGAATAAACTGAGACAATATATGGACCGAGTATGTCAGATCAGGACGAGTCACAGCTAAATATATGAGTCGGCCCATTAAACGACGGTACGGTTCTGGGTCCTGAAGAAAAGAGCCAGTTGCGGAAGCCAAAGTGTGATTTTGTTCTATCGGAAATGAGGCAGGCTTAGCGCCAAGCAAGCCAACTTCGGAGATAATGTCCAAAGCATACTTCCTTTGTGTAAGAAAAAGTCCAGTCTGGCTACGCGCTACCTCAATTCCCAAAAAGTATTTTAGAGGTCCCAAATCCTTCATATGAAAGCACGTGCTAAGATACGCTTTGAAAGAGGAAATAGCAACACTATTATTGCCAGATATAATAAGATCATCCACATAGACAAGAACATTAATTTGGATATCCTCACGGGTATAAGTGAACAAAGAGTAGTCTGCATAAGACTGAGAAAAACCATACCCTTTTAAAGCACCAAGAAGTTTTGCAAACCAACATCTCGGAGCCTGTTTCAGTCCATAGAGTGATTTCCGTAGCCGACATACCAAAGTAGTATCGGTAACCGAGAAGCCCGGTGGTAAAGTCATATACACTTCCTCATTAAGATCACCGTGCAAGAAAGCATTGTGAACATCCATCTGGTGCAGCTCCCAATTTTTTGATGCCGCAACTGCTAAAAATGCACGAACAGTGACCATTTTGGCGACCGGAGCAAATGTTTCTGTATAGTCAAGGCCTTCCACCTGTCGGTTTCCAAAAATCACCAAACGCGCTTTGAGCCGTTCGATACTGCCGTCTGAGTGGTATTTAATTTTATAAACCCACCGGCATCCCAACGCTCGTTTGCCCGGAGGTAGAGGCTCCAACGTCCAGGTCCCATTAGTTTCTAATGCTCGTATTTCGGACCGCATGGCTGCTCGCCAACCATCATCAGCAACAGCTTCCCGAAAGGACCGCGGTTCACGCCTGGCAGTAATTGCGGCCAAGAAATGGCGATGCTGCGGAGAAAAATTAGTACAACTAACATAATGTGCTATAGGAAAAGGTGTACCTGAGGAAGCATCCGGCGAAGGTGTGTAAGGAAGGGATGGATTAGAAGCAAGCACTGTATGCGTAGCATAGTCTCGTAACTTCACAGACGGAATTTTATTTCGTTTTCCACGTCCAAGCTCGGTGCAAAGAGAATCAGAATTCCCTGGAACGGTTGAGGATTGACCGGCATGTGATGTGTCCACTGCTTGTGACGTGTCTACTGTATCCAAGCCGAGTGAAGCATAATTCCCTGAAGGCACGTCCTCAGCATGCGAATGATCAGTGGAATTGTTTTTTGATGATACGGCAACCCTACCACTAGAGAGAGTGGTATATTCTTCAAAAGTAATAGGTACATCACTGGAAGAAAATAATTCTGGTTCGTGACCATGCAAAGTAGGTGGAGTTTGTTCAAAAGGGAATTTATCCTCAAAAAATTTTACATCTCGGGAGACGAAAAATTCTTTTGTATCAAGATCATATAATCGCCATCCCTTCTTGCCAAAGGAGTATCCCACAAAGACACATTTTCTGCTTCGACTAGAAAATTTATCAGATTTTCCTTTTAGATTATGAGCAAAGCACAAACAACCAAAAATTCAGAGTTCTTTGTAGGATGGTGGTACCCCAAACAACACTTCAAAAGGCGTCTTATGGTGAAGTAAATTAGACGGAGTGCGGTTTATAAGATGTGCAGCGGCCAACACACACTAGCCCCAAAAAAATATAGGAAGGTTGGCTTGAAATCGTAGTGCCCGTGCCACATTTAGAATATGCCGATGTTTACGCTCCACACGTCCATTTTGCTGTGGCGTGCTAACACAAGATGAGTGGAAAAAAATTCCATTGCTTTGAAAATATTCTTGCAAACAATGAAATTCTGTGCCATTGTCACTACGCACAATTTTAATATTTTGGGAAAATTGTCGTGCAACCATTGCAATAAATGACATAAAAACTTTAAAGACCTCCTTTTTGTCACATAGCAAATAAACCCAAACAGCTCGAGAAAAATCGTCAACAAGAGTCAAAAAATACTTGGCTCCACACGACGCAGGGGTATTATATGGTCCCCACAAATCACAATGCAAAAGCTCAAATATATGAGTTGATTTATTAATACTTAAAGGAAAAGAATCTCTGCTTTGTTTAGCACGGAGACAAACTTCACACGGTGAATTCACACTATCTGAAGTTGTTGACGCCGTAGACAACCATTTAGTCACCTGCTCAGAAGGGTGTCCTAATCGTTTGTGCCACGTGTCCAAAGAAGCATGCAAACCATCCACAGTAACAGACAAAATCTCTGATGTGAGTCGCAAGTAGTACAATCCATCCCTCCTCTCACCCGTGCCAATCAGCTTCCTCGAGTGAAGGTCCTGTATAGCACAAATGTTAGAAGTAAACTGAATAAAACATTGCAAATCATCATTCAGTTGGGAAACCGAGATCAAATTACAGTTCAATTTTGGAACAAAAAGAACATTTTTTAATTTCATTGTACTAGTCAACTGGACCATGCCCTCCTTAGTAGCAACCACATGCTGGCCATCGGGTAGTCCAACCATTCGAGAGGGAACCTCTCGAATATTATTCAAGCAAGTAATGTCACCCATCACATGATTGGATGCACCCGTGTCGATAATCCAAGAAGAAATATCAAACTTACCGGACATTCTTTCGGGTTGCGTTTGAGGGTTACCGAACACTGCCACTAAAGTCTTCCATTGATCCGCTGTGAATCCTGGAAGAGGGGCAGAATTATTGTTGAATTCGGCAGCCACTCGTTCTGTTGAAGGAGCATGACCGGCTGCTGCTGCATGTGCACGTACGTGGCTTTTTCCACTTCCTCCAGTAGGTCCAGACATCCTCCCACTTTCTGCCAGTGATGAGGCCTTCCCACGTCCAGCACCTGGTTTTTTATTAATTCCAAGTCGTGGCCGATCTCCCCACCAGTCCGGGTATCCAAGTATTTCAAAGCAATTTGCGGCTTCATGACCTGTAAATTTGCAATAGGAGCAAACAATGCCCGATTTGTCTGTTTTCTCTCGGCTGGGTTTTCCCCGTCCCGCCGCACGCACAGCAAAACCTACAACCTCCGGCTTTTCCTCCTTCATTTGAGTAATACCACGGACCCGCTCTTCTTGAACTACTTGTTGGAATGAACGAGTGAGGGTAGGTAAAGGCGTCTGAGTCAGTAATTGTGAGCGGATCTGCCCATAATAATCCGAATAGAGACCCATCAAAAATTGATGAAATCTCTCGGATTCCCGACGCTTTTTAAGCAATTCGCCCAAGTTACAAGTACATTTACCACAAGTGCACGTGATTAGGGGTTCAAAATTATTTAGTTCATCCCACAAAACTTTAAGTTTAGCGTAATAGGATCCAATGGTCATATTTTTTGTTTGCTCACAGCGAGCCAAATCGGACTTTACTTGGTGAATCCGAGGTCCGTCTACGATGGAAAAACGTTCCTCCAAATCCATCCATAATAACCGAGCATTATCAAATTTTGAGAGTGTCGCTTTTACCTCGGGTGTGATAACATTTAGAATCCAAGAGACTAACATGGAATGGATAGTTAGCCAATCTTCTTCCGTGCATGGCGGCTTCGGTTCATTAATCGCACCATTGACAAAAACGAATTTCCGACGTGCCCTCAATGCTAAACGAACGGAGCTCGACCATTCGTCATAGTTATCACCGGTCAGTCTTACGGGAGTTATGAAATCGCCTGGACGATCTTGAGGGCCCAGAAAATACGGGGACGTGTGATCAATCTTCGTTGATGAAGAAGAATCGCCGTCTTCTTGTTCGACTGCCATCTTCAATTCGTATGGCAATTAACGTATCAGCACTATACGTGCTCTGATACCATGTCAAAGGGAAAAGTATGTAACTGAGAACTTAATAGAATAATCCTTCATCTTAGAGTTAGGATCTACCGCCCTATAAATACAAGATGCACAAAATAAAGATATTAACTATAGAATATTCTAGTGTAGCCATACTTAGCAACAAACGTATATGGAAAAAGACTAAATAAGGTAATAGAATAAAGGAAAAATTGATAGTAATAATCCCAACTATTGGCGGTCCGCTCATAATAATCCCAACTATTGATTATTACAGAATAATCCCAACTTTAGGGACCTTCCGCCAATAATGGTCCCTATGAATAAATTCTTGTAGTTTCTAAAGTGGATGAGATGAGATATAACAAGTAATCCTTATAAATAATCTAAACTTTTAATTTTTATGCTTAATTTCTATTTAAAATTCACTTTTTATAGAGGTAATATATGGTCATGGACCATTATTGGCGGATAGCCTATATAGTTGGGATTATACAAAAATAATCAATAGTTGGGATTATTTTCAGCGGACCGGCAATAGTTGGGATTATTATTTTCAATTTTTCCTAGAATAAATAATACGGAGTATAATATTCTCGGTGTAACAAATATACACAAGCTCCCAGACTCCCAAAAAACTAAATACTTGGTACATGACTTGTTCCTACTAAGAGCGTTTTCTAAAACAACGATGACGAGCACTTTGTTGTGCTGTGCACTCAAAATAATAAATTAATACAACAACTATACGTAATATAATGAAGTAAGGTTCGTCAGGGCCGTCTAATAAATTTGGAGGCCTCGGTTCAAAATGTAAAATTGGGGCCCCACATTAATATAAAAAATATAAAAAAAATCCTAGCCCAAATACTTATACTCAAATCAATTGAATACTAATTAAAAGAGAACTAAAAGAGTAAAAGGACCAACGAGAAAATTGATGGATCTATATTTTTCGTCTTTACTAGCTAACTGTATTTTAGTGATTAGTATTAATATGTAATATTACTATATAATACTAATAATTTTTTAAAAATTTGGGGCCCCATAAAATCGGGGGCCCTGTTCTGGATGACCTATTGAACCTCCTAAAAAACGGCCCTGAGGTTCGTATACATAGAGAAATGAATATTTATCTTTTATGTAACTAGTAACGGGGGGGGGGGGGGGGGGGGGTTAGGTGTGTTTGATTTTAATTAATTAAATACGAAGATGAACGATTTATATGAGTTTAATTAATAGAGATGAGGACTTGATTTTGCTTTTATCCACTTAATGAAATGTTCATCAATCCCGATTATATCTTTAGCTATCTTCCTCTCGAATATTCAATCAAAGAGTATCTCCATTTCATCGAGGGTAGTTATTAATAACGGGACGCGTTCATTAATAAAACTTACTACCGAGTCAATATAGAACTCACGCTGTATATTAACCCGATAATAGCAATAAACTTAAGATAAAAACGATTGAGATTGATAACCTCAACACAAGCGGTTTATTGGTTTAATCAATATAATTAATTCCCCTTAGATTATTAACCATGAGACGCATGCATTAATAATCCAAGTTTACTACCGTGAAAAGACCGAACAATTAACAAGCGTATTCGTCGATCGATTCTAGTAATAATTAATATATGAAACAAAACTAGTTGATCCTTTAAGTAATGCTCAAAATATTAATATGAAATATGAATAAGAATTAATTAAAATTGAAGGAAGAAGATTAAAGAAAATAAATGCTACTATAACTAATTAATGTTGAGATGTTAACTAATTGTCATCTTAGCAACACTCCACGTACAACATTAATATAGAGATAGATTAAGGGAATGAATTAATATTCAAGGAAGAAGATTTAAGAAAATAACTCACAACTTACAATTCATTAAACTTCAAAGTAGCAAAACCAAGATGGAACAGTTTAACTCCTCATTTGGAGACTAAACATCATAGAAAATATAAAGAAAACACTAATCTAAACTGAACTTAAGAGTATATGTGAATTGGTGATCAAATGGGAATGAAAAGAGGTGTATTTATAGGTGTTTGGAGGTGACAGGGTCATTTACCCGACCGGGTATTTGAAATACCCAATCGGGTATCCTGAGAAATTGCCCATAAGCTTCACTAGTCGATCACATTATACCCAACCGGGTAAATGATTTACCCGATCGGGTATAAGACAAATCTTTGCCAAATCTTCACCCTGCACGTCTAATTGTCTCCAAATCAGATTTGATCTTCGGGTCAAGTCAACACCCGATCGGGTATATGCTATACCCGACCGGGTATTTCAATATTTTCCCAAATCTTCACTTTATCTTGTTCCCTTGCACTTTCCTAGACCTTTCAAAGATCCTTTTGATGATCTTTGCCTAGTTAGAGCTCAGAATAATCCCAATCTAAACAAATTACAAACAAATAGGAAAAATAAAGTATTACTCCGAAAGTGTGTAATTTCCCAAATAACAACAAATAAAACTAGTTAAAATTATAAACATAAATAATAACAATTCTATACTATCATTATTGGTTGATTTTTTGCAGTGAAAGTAAACCATTATTTGAATTGATAATAAATGTGTAAATGTGTTTAGCAATCAAAATTTAAGAAAGTGATATAAATATATTATTAGGTAACTTCAGTCTTCAGGTTGATAAATTATAATTATACTAGTATAGTCTTTCATGTTTTCACCCTAATGTTAAACTGAACATTAATTTAAAATTTATAAACATGTACAGGATTAGAGGAGAATTTCAATAATTGGTAATAATTATGTTTCCATATAAATACCAATCCGGTAATAATTATGTTTCCATATAATTGGTAAAAATTATAAACATGTACAGAAACTGACTATTTTTATTTTTATCATTAAGTTTATTAGTAACTTGTTTTTTTAAGATAATTTGCTTGTGTTGCTACTTGAAAACAGGCCCAAAATTTATTCTTGCACAGTCTCCATTTTCTCGGGACCAGCCCTGCTCACACGCCAACTCTGTAGACATAAAAGAAGTGTGTTTTACCTTCAGCTAGAGCCTTTGCTTCTTCAAAGTGGCGACAATGTTCATGTTGTAAGAAAGGCGGGCACAATAAGAAGCATTGTAGGAATCATATTCCAATCCATAGCTCTTAAATTCATAATGTCCTATCACTTTAATTTTATTTAATCTAATAAGTTGTTGTAAAACCTTTAGTTTTGTTTTGCTCACAAATTTTAATTACCACGGTTTGTTGGGAATGGAGCTTATGTTAGTTGTAATGGTTTGGAGATAATGCTATTTTCTTGTTTGTACTCAAGTTTAATAAATAATAGCCATTTCAAACATAAAGTGACATATTGATCAAGATTGCATTCGATTTCTAAATATCGCCTATGGATGTATATGTATATTGTTTTTTTTATAGATGTACTCCCTCCGTCCCCTTTTAAATGTCCCGGAAGAGGGTGACACGAGTTTGTAAGAAAAGTGGGTTTGTGTGGTTGATATTAATTGATAAAGTAAGACTAAAATAATAATGATTTTGAGTAGGGGTGGGCATGGGTCGGGACGGTTCGGGATTAGGGTTATCCTGGTCCCGTCCCAATTAATAATAACGGGACGGTACGGTACGGGACAAGCCTTTGTCCTAGTCTTGTCCCATTTAAATCGGGACCGGGATGGTTCGGAACGGTTCGGGACGGTTCGAGACGTCCCAAACTAACAAAAAATAATCATTTGTAATTAATATATATTAGCATTTCTAAAGTATCATGCACCAAAATATTAATATTTTAAAAGTTAATTGATGTTCATCACAAGCTAAAAGCTACTATGTATTAGATTTTAGTTATGTTTAGCAAAATTTGAAATTTAAATTTAAAACAAAGCAAAAATGAATTAGTTTATTCAAAATCATGTGTTCTAGCTGTGAGATACTCATATGTAGATATATAAAGTGGGATAAAAATCTATGTTAGTAAATATTCATGTTAGGTATTATTTTTAATTTAAAAATTGGGCTTGAAGAACTAAAAACATGTTACCATTTATTTTTTTGAGTTGACATTACACACTAGTCACATGCTACAAAATCTATATAGTTATTACAAACGGGACAACGGGACGGTTCGGGATAACCTTCCAATGTCCCGGTCCCGTCCCGTTTTAAACCGGTACGGGACCGGTGCGGGACAAAATCAATGAGACCCAAACGGAACGGGACAACACCGGTACGGTTTCGGGATATACCGGAATGGGACAACGGGACCGGGATTCTTGCCCGCCCTAATTTTGAGCCACACAAACTTTACCAAATAAGGTATGAGACAATTAAATAGGGATATCCCAATATGGTAAAACGGGACATTTAAAAGGGGACGGAGGGAGTATAT